TTTGAACTATGGAGTACAGTATACTGAGGTGTGTCATCCAAAATATAAATAAAATTATTAAAACTCAGAACATAGGTTTGCAGTATGGTGTCATTTTAAAAATAATTGACTGGTCATTAATGTACTGCCTTATGTCAAATTAATCTTAACTCATATTTAAACTACAGTCAGCCTGAATAATTACAATAATAAATAACAAGATGCCATATTGTCAAAATTTGTATGACAAAGACTCAGAATATCAATTGAGGATTTATAATGATTAGAATATGTCTTCAGGTAAATTATGAAAAATAATTTAAAAATGTAATGCAAATGTTTTTCAGCAGGCAATAAACATGAATAAGGAAACTATTTAAAATTCAGCTGTAAAGCTAAAATTGAGAAACGTGTTCTAGTGAAACTAGTTCAGTAATTCAGATTTTTGTCAACAATTTAAGCTTTTAAAAAAAGCTAAAATACTGTGATAATGTGCAACTTCATTAGTTCAGATAATTTCATGTGCAGTCACACTCTTCATACACCAGGGGAGCGCAAGTGAGCACAGCTTAGCCCCGCCCATATGCCCTCCCCCTGTATCCTGGCCCTCCCACATCCTGCCCCCGTCCCCCCTCCTCTCTGCCCCACCCTGCCATCTGGTCCTTTTCAGACTCTCACACACGCACACACACACACACACACACACACACACGCACACAGTCAGGAATCTTTTCTCCTCGTTTCCTTTCACAGTGAAAAACAGGATGAAGGGGCTCTTTCAGACCCGAGGTTACCGTGGAAACCCCCTTATTCTTCTTCTGTCAAACACACTTAGATTGTAACACACACACACACACATTCTTATTCTGAAAGTGACAGAATGTTGGACATTTAAAGTTTAAAGGGACCAAAGCTACAGCTGTCCTTCTGTCTGCCACAGCTCTGGCCTTCTGTTTACTTTAGACAAAGAACATTATGCCTCTCCTTTTCTCTTCTTATCATTTCAGTTTTTTTAATACCAATACTTCAGTGTTCCTAAATGAACTGTCTTAACCCGTAAACATTACGTGTTCTTATTAAGTTTCCCTGAAATGTATTCAGTCTGTGTTGCTGTTAAAAGTTGGCTAAAGACTTGTTTGTGTCTTTTCTCTTTCCTGAGCAACCTCAGCAACTTTTTTCTTTCCAAAGAACAGCTCACCCCCACACAAACTGATGGTGAAACTTTAAACCCTCTCCTCTGCTCCAGTTTACACAATCCTCAGCCCTGGAATGTTGAATGGAAAAAGTTAGTTTAAAAGTTATATAAAATGAATGCTGTGCTCTTCTACTGTCTTGCCACCAGAGGGCCCATGAAAAGCCCCCTTGGCATTACGGATATACAAAAGAGCACATCATCTGAAAGCTTTTAGTGGTTTAAAAATAAACTGTAGTGCTCCACAAACAGGGAGTGGTGATGGTGGGATGAAAGCACTGCATGAAAAGAATGAAAGAGAGAGAAAGGCTCTGAGAGAGGGACTGAAACTGTTTTTTGAGTTGAGTGTTCAAGGATGAAAGTGTCTTGTTCTCTCTCTCTGTCTTTGTTTTATTAACTCTGTCTTTCTTCTTTTTTTCTCTTTCCATTCGTCTAATCCTTTTTTACTTTTCTTTCTCCAAGCCTGGCTACCCATCATTTTCCCCTCCACACATTTTCTCCTTTTAAGGAGTGAGGGAACAAGAGAGGAAGAGAGTGGGAGAGGGGGGGTGCTCAGGTCTGCTGACTGATAAACAGACTCCTCTTTGTGCAGAGAGACACACGCACACATGCACGGATACACTTAGTTACATATTGACAGAGACCTCTGCATGAGTTGGCTCCTCGTGATTCTTTGTACCCTTCCTTCGCCTCCTCTCCCCCTCCATCCCTCTGCTTTTTTCCCCTTTCATTTCTTTTTTCCCCTCCTCCTCCTAATTAAAAACAGAAGTCACAAATGGAAGAATTTTGTTTTTCTTTCATGACACATGTGTGTGCATGCAGAGATACACACACACACACACACACACACACACACACACACTCGCACATTCAACCCCCCTTTTTTTACATCATCTCTCAGTGCCAAGCAGCTGTTGGAGAGATGAGGGGGAGGTGGTCCAGGAAACGCGAAGTGTGTGTGTGCGTGTGCGTGTGCTTGCATGTGTGTGTCAGTCAGAAGGGGTGGTAGTGATTTGTTTTCAGAAATGGGTCCTTCTTTGTGTGACGGAATAACAAAAAAGCAGCTGGAACGATAAAACTTGGATGTCAGAACTCCACAAGTGTGTTCATATTTGCTTGAGTAGTGTGTTTCTGGGTTTGTGTGTGTTTGTGTGTGTCTGTCTGGTCACAGTTGTGTTCTGCTTCTGTCATCTCCTCCTCCCCAACAATGACTAAGTGTAACGTGGTGCAGTGCTAGATAGCCTCCACCAGAGGTGCCATAGGCTTATAAATGAAATGAGCCGGCTGTGCATGTGGAAACCACTGAGCAGCCATTTTACACTCTTGCACACCAGACCCCATTTTATGAATCAGCCATGATGTCAGCATAGACTGATTTCATTGGCTAGAGCAGCTGGCACTGTGGCTATTATAGCACAGATGTACACACACACACATGCTCACTCACCAGTTCATCTCTCTGAGACGCACACACTGACCTAGTGACATGATGCTGTCACTAGGTCACTAAGTCCCAGACTAACTGGATTATTACTTCTTGAGATAATATACTGGCCGGGTTACACAGTCGCCTGCGCTGTAGCATGTACACTTGTCTTTGTACAAATCTACATGTGCATGTTTGAGTGTATATAAGTTTGTTATCTTGTGTTTTTTTATTGATGTTAATCTATATCTTTATTTTGGTTGTTATCTGTCTCCCTGTCAGTGTCTCTGTGTTAAGATGTTTATTTGTGACTGTTGGTCGCCTCCTTTGAGTCTCTTCCTGATCTTTCAGCTGTGTTTATGTGTTTGTGTGCAAAGATATTTATGTTGTTTCCTCTCTGATGTCCTGGTGGGTTTCCCTACCCTGTGTGTGTGTGTGCACTGGTTCACTTCCTGTTATGGTTTCCTACTCTCAGCAGGAACTCTGGCTGAAGTGCTGGACACACAATAGTTTTTATTCATGATAAGAAATGCACGCAGCTCATTACAGACATTACAAGCATATGGCAGAAAGTTAAAACAGATCAGATTTCAAACTTTAGAAATGATGATGGTTGATTCTGATAGACAAGTTTCATGAAGCTGACACTGAGTGAAACTATGGGACTTATTGAGGCCTCAGTGCACTGACTGACTGACTGTTGTGTGTGTGTATGTGTGTGTACTCAATGAATGGCTAGATGGAGAGACGTGGAGCTCATTAAGGGGACAAGACTTGTTAACAGACTGTCCAGCTTGGCCTCTCACATGGAGACAAAGCACTGTTTGACTGGACATATGGAAGGATGGAGCGATGAATGAATGAGTTGTTATGCTGTAGTGGTTGTCTCCGTGACTGTGTGAATGAAACTATTTTTCGCTAATCCAACAATGTAGAGGAAATGTGAATGAATTGCGGAAAAGTGGGTTGCATGAATGAGAAATAAAAAAAGGAGAACACACATGCGACACAGAAAGATGGGCTTAGGTAATCCTTATAGAGAATAAGAAGGGAGAATAGCAACACAAGTGAATAGAGCAGATGTAAGTAATTCTCCACAACTTTCATCTTTATTATCAATATTTCGTGATATCAGGCCAGACTGAGGATCTATTAAAGCTTCAGATGTCCTTATAAGAGGTCATCACCTGGCTGTGGAAACAGATGGGCTGCTCAGCACACAGAGACTGATTTTAACTCACATTGTTTGTCTTTGTGTTTCAGACACAACGTCACAAATAAGGTCAGCACACTCGTACTGTATGTGCTGTACCAGTGTTGTTTCTGGCTGTTTTCCAGACAACAATTCTTGTTTCCTGCCTTGTTTTTATAGAGATAAGACGAGGACAAGGCCGCAGAGAGACGAGTAGAAAAATCTTACGTAGAGAATCACAAAAATCTAAAGAGAGAGAGAGAGAAATAGACAAATATCTGAGAGACAAATATGTTTATCGTTTTTCCCACACAGAGGCAAAGGAAAAGAGAAATGTTTCTTATATACTGTGTTTACAGAGTTAGAGGTGTTTGATACCATTTTTCTTCCGTCAGTACCTAACAGTTACCTGTGCATTTAATATAATGTCAACTTAAATAACATTTGAATAGGTGTATGCTACTAACCCTGTATGAAAGTGGTGATTGCTGTAAGGCTGGCTGTCATGATATTCACTATTTGTGCTGTAGATGACTGATAAATTGATAAAAATAGGTTTAATAATATTTGCAGGATCAAGTGTACAAGTGTGACATTCTCTCCTCCGCTGACCCTAGATATGATGTGCCTTTGTGTCTGTACAGTGGGCTCTAATGTGGTCAAACCCATGTGCTGGTTCATCTTATCCAGTGCTTATCCACCCCCCACACACTGACACAGTCCTGACCTTGTCAGAGCAAGTTATTGTGAAGTGCTTCTGTCAAATGTGCGCATGTGTTATAGTGTTGTATATGCATGTGTGTAAGCTGACTGCAAACTTCAAATGCCTTCAGCTAACAAAATGTCCAACCATATTTACCACCCCCCCCCCCCCCCACACACACACACACATACACACATAGCAGAGATATCTTTCCCCCAGTGTTTGAGCCATTTCATAGTAGTTCAGTCTTACCCAAGGCCAATGATGCAATAATCCCATCACCTCTATGACACCATACAGTTGGAGAAGGGTGAAAAAAGTGAAGGATGTGTCAAGTCTGTCTGTTGTTATAGACGTCACATGAGCCCTCTGTCCATCGTTTTCATGTCTCACAGAACCCACTGATTTCTCTTATGGCCTTAATTCTAATGTAATTTCTAAAAAAGTCTCCTCTGTCCCTCTCTGTACATTACCACCTCCCCTCCCATGTCTCTGTCCACCTCTCCAGCCAAAAAGGAGCAGGATGGTGGTGACGAAAAGAAGCAGCTGCAGAAGAAGAAAGTGAAGGAGCTTAAGATTTTGGACAGCAAGACTGCACAGAACCTCTGTAAGTCCACACAAAGTTTGATACCCCCCATACCAATTTCATTGGAGTATCAAGTACATTGAGTTAACTCCTTCACCGAAAAATCCACACTAAAGCATGTTCAACTGAATCCCAGTGGGTTTTAAATATGTGCTGTTAATTTCATATGCTTGCAGCCATTTTCCTGGGATCGTTCCGTCTCCCCTATGAACAGATCAAGACTGCCATCCTCGAGGTCAATGAGAAGATCCTCACAGAGTCCATGGTTCAGGTACTGCACTCAGATCTGCTCCAGATCCTGTATACAAAGTTAATGAGCAGAGTAGTATATTCAGCGTATTTATTGTTTTGAATTTCTTATTCGTGAGTAGTGACCATCACCAAGTTCAGATGATTCTGATACTGATCATTTAGATGAATAAGTAGCTTTATTCACAGTATTTACTTCCATTACTTTATGTAGTTGATGCCATGTTATTGTATTGGACAGAAAGCTTGTTTCAGTATTAGGATACTTGCTAAAAGGTTAAGCAAAGCGGCTAATTCAGATGTCACATCCTTGTGTTTAGATAGCAGGATTTAATTGCTGGTTATTTGTATTTCAGAATACGCAGTTGTCTGTATTTGTGTATTTCAATCAATCAAGTTGATCCAAACACTAAATCACTCTGCACTGTGTGTGTGTCACCAAATTGCTGTGTTTTAAGACCCAATGTGAAGTTTGTGACAAAGACACAAGTGTCTCCATATCCAGTTAATTGTGTGTTTTCTCTATTATTACCATGTAGAACCTGGTCAAACAGCTGCCAAAACCAGAACAGATGAGTGTCCTGGAAGAAATGAAGGATGAATACGATGACTTGGCCGAGTCTGAACAGTTTGGAGTAGTGGTGAGATGAGACACACAAACAAACAGCATCTTAAATAGCTTTTATTTTAATTCCCAGCTGACTTGGATGTGACTTGCCACAAACGCAGAGAGGAAATCAGTGCGATGACAAATGAGGCATGAAAAATGCTGAACGACTGAGATAGAGTCATGCATTTGTCGCTATATTAAAACACTGCCTGTTGAACACAGACTGCTTTGTTCAACTGCGGAAGATGTGAGTAATGGATGCCCCCCCCCTCTCTCTCACTCTCTGCAGATGTCCTCTGTGAAGAGACTGATGCCACGACTCCAGGCCATCCTGTTCCAGCTGCAGTTTGAGGAGCAGCTGAACAACATCAAGCCAGATGTGGTGTCTGTGACAGCAGCATGCGAGGAGCTCAGACAGAGCGAGAACTTCTCCAAGCTGCTGCAGATTATCCTCCTTGTTGGGAACTACATGAACTCTGGCTCTCGCAATGGAAAGGCCTACGGCTTCTCCATCTCATACCTGTGCAAGGTAAAAGGAGGTGTAGCCATTCTACATACACACATAGTGAAAACCATACTTTACTCTTACCTGTTGTGTCGTTTTCTGAGGTCAAGTGAGGACATGCCATATTATTCAGTTTTATAGCAAGAGGTGAGAGGAGGTCTACAGGAAGATGTGTATGTAGACAATAACATGTAAGATATTCCCCCCCCGCCTTTTCAATAGTATCTAGGTATGTAGTATCACAAATATTCATATACATATCTATAGCAGACATTTTGACTTGGCCCACATCTTCCTGATAGCAATAACGATGCAATGAGACAGTATTACAGTAGTACAGACGATGTAGACACTCAGATAACAGTGCATAAATGCTGGAATATTATAAATACATATATAGCACATCCATTTACACACACATGCAAATGGAAAGCGTGACACACTAAGAGCACATACATACATGCAGACATTGAATAACTTGATTGATTGCCATCCCAGTCTACCCTTTTTAATCGATCCCTCTTCCAATCAGCTGCGTGACACCAAAACAGCTGATCTGAAGCAGACACTGCTCCATTTCCTCGCCGATGTGTGCCAGGAGGAGCATCCTGATATCATGAGCTTTGCAGATGAGCTCATCCATGTGGAAAAGGCCAGCAGAGGTACGTGGGTCATCTAACTGACCTCTATGGGTTTATTTCCCCACAGTATCATCCATTATGACGGGAGTTTACAAGACTTTTATTAATACAGCAATCTCCCTTTGTTAGTGGCATGGCATATTATTCACAGCAGGACTTTTATTCAAATGAAAAAAGCATATACTCTGTGCATGTGTGTGGGTTCAGCCAGAGTGTTTGGGCATTCTGGATCATTAACATTTCCTTCCTGTCCCCAACAGTTTCTGCAGAGACGATTCAGAAGAACTTAGATCAGATGGGCCGTCAGATCAAGAACCTGGAGAGGGATCTGGAAACTTTCCCTCCTCCACAAAATGACCACGACAAGTTTGTGGAAAAGATGTCTATATCCTCTTACTCTGTTCCACTCTGTGTTTATTTAAAATTTCAATACATCATGACATACCATTTTTATGCCCTCTTAATTAAGAGTCAAAGATTGTGGTTCCTTAACACAGTGTCTCCACAGTTTTGTGGTCACGGCCCATGAGCAATATGAGAAGCTGGATCTGATGCATAAGAATATGGAAAAGCAATATGTTGACCTGGGAGACTATTATGTCTTTGACCCGAGAAAAATTGCTGCAGAGGAATTCTTCGGGGACCTCAACACCTTTAAGAACATGTTCCAGGTGCGTGGGTGTTTTGCATGTGAATAAACAAACTCAAGGCTCATATCATTCAAAATGGGGGTGGTGTGGTTTTCAGTGTTTCCTGACCACACTCAAAAATATTATGATGCATACAGTACAAAGACTCACACACATGGAGTTGGGGAAGAAAAAGTTAATGTCAGACCCGGATGGGATGAAACAGAAGCCTGTGCACCTGTTTGTATTGACAAAATAATGAAAGGGAGTGACTCCATTGTATTGTCAGTTTATACATCAGCTTTAAATGTGCCATTTGGGAGGGCTCCCTCAGGAAGTAACTTGTTTTACCAGTTATTATGGATAACTGCCATCCACTGAAGTGGATTTAAGTTTTGTTAACATACAAAGAAATCCAACAGATCCATCTTACATCATGTTCTTTTGAAGTATTCTAATATCTTCTCCTTCTCTCTTACTCTCCCCGACAGCAAGCGGTGAAGGAGAATCAGAAGAGGAAGGAGGCTGAAGAGAAGATGAGGAAGGCCAAGCTGGCTCGGGAGAAAGCGGAGAAGGAGAAGGAGGAGAAACTGAAAAGGAACAAGCTCCCTGACATCAACACAGGTCACGAGTTCTGGATCCTATTTCTTTACCTGCATATGTGACTGAAAGAAAGAGCAACACACTCCACATCTTTTCTTTTTGTATTTCCCTCAGACTCCAGTTGGGGGCAGTCAGAGTCCACACTTTTGTGGAAAATTTGTGTGTGTGTGTATATATATGTGTGTGTGTGGATGAGCAACCCATCAGTATTTATAGACCGGAGTTAATCTAATGTTGATGACCCTTGTTTTGAAGTATATAAATGACAAGGAAACTACACATAAAGCGAGGACGAGGGAGACGAAGTTTGTAAAAGCAACTGCTTGACCTCTTTTCGCTCCTCTGGTAAAAAAAAAAAAAAGGGATTTGCCTCCATAAAAGAGAACTGAAAAGATGGCTAAATCTCTTTATCGCCCCAAAACATGTTCCTTCCTCTCTATGAGATGCCGCTATAAAAGCTTGCGGTACATTGTCCTGTGTAACAGACACACGTTATCACACACTCATTCCTGTATACACACAGTTAAAACTCAAATCCTCCCTCGCAGACATTTATGCTCAGGCACTTTTTTCCTCTTTTCTCTGACTGTGACCTAGTTTCTGTACATTCCTCCTTTCTGTGGCTCCACTCGGATTCTCATGGGACTCCACAGTCAAAATTTGCTAGAGCCCCCATGTCTTTTTCTTGGTCAGTGTTTGAGTTAGAGAAATCTTGCATTGACCTGTGTGTGTGTGTGTGTGTGTGTGTGTGTGTGCGTGTGCGTGTGCGTGCGCGTGTGTGTGTGTGTGTGTTTTTTGAACCCCTTTTAATAAAAGTCTTTCTGGCCTTTCTCCTACTTCTCCATGTTCCAGCTGGCTTCTCCTCTCTTTCTTTCTTTCACTTCTTGTTTTTTCCCTTTCCCTCCCACTCTGTCTGCCGTTCATTTAAAGGGCACTTAAAGACACAGCAACCCACTTGGAATATTTTGTCTCAGTGTTGGGGTAGACAGTTTCTGATAGAAAGTAAGATAGTCAAATTTCATGTTCAGTCCCTGGAGGCGTGTGCGAATGGAACATAATAGTGCTTCAAAGATGAGTGTGTGCGTGGATTCTTGGAATCATTTACATACAGGTGGTATATTTGACTGCCCCTGTTGCCTGGAGTCATTCAACACCCACACGCAAATCTGCCATACACACACCTGTTCTTTGTTCCGTATTTGTTTATGTCCTTTATACTGGATGGCTTTTACACAATGGTTGTTTTCAGCAGCCAGTCTCTCACATGCTGAACTCTTCGCTGGTTCCCTGGCTCCCACTAATCCACTCACATACCCTCACTATCTCATGAACTCTTAGAATGTGTAAACATAATATCCCAGTTGTTGGCTAAACCCTGCAAGGTCAGTTTGTGTTTGCAGTGTGGCCTTGTCATTCCTGTGTGAGTCAGACGGACGCACAGACGCTCCACTCAGTAGGGCCTCACATGTGCTAAGCATGTGATAATGGTTATTGTGATTAAACAGTCCTTCTGTTATATGTCATAGATTTATAAATGTTTTTAAAAATTGCTTTTACTCACATTGTGTGGCTCTTGGTAACATGGAGGATTAAGGATTCAGTGTATGAGACTGGCAGATGCCACACCCAAAGGTCCACATTCACCATCTGTGGTTTAAGATTAGATATTTGCTCTGATGTGATCTGATCATGACTGGTTCTTACAACTATAATGAAATATCCATTTCTGTTCATCACATATTTTATCTTTGGACTTATGCCAAAGCTGCTCGGAAACCAACTATTCCTTATTTCCACAGCTAGGTGTCAGTACTGTCTGTAAAAGATTGTCTGAGGCTGTGTCTTCCTATGAATGTGGCAGAGGGTGTGTGCATGTGTGGTTTACACACCCATGCAGCTGCTAGTATGGGAATGGCCACCAGGAGTGCTTGTGCTCCACTCAGAAAGCAATCGAGGTGGTAGTGAGGGGGAGGGTAAAGGGAAGGAGGAGAGTAGGTCAGCAGATGCTCTCTTGGGGATTAGAGTGTGTTGTCATCTCTCAGAAAAGAAGGTTAAGAGGAGGAGAGGAGAAAGGCGCAGGGTGAGAGAGGGAATCACATGGGTTGAGCCAGGATGGCCTGATGTCTCACCCAGGCTGACTGTAGGAGAGGCACAAATCTGCCACAGACTCATTTCAACGCTGTCTTTCCTTCTCATTTGCTTTGTCTTTTCCTCTGTTGTATTCCATTTTATTTATTTTGTTGCTCCACCTCTCTTCTCTGTAATTTCTTTATCCATGTCCTCATCTGCTGCTGTGTGAACAACCTTTAGGGGTGCTATTGCTCCACACAACGGGCTACCCTCCTTTGTGTGTATGTGTGTGCGCATGTGCCTGCATGTGTGTGTCTGTAGATCGGCTTCAAGTAGACAGCTTCAACAGCTCATGATCTAATGCTATTACACTAATTAATTTGCCTTATGTTCTTTCTTCCTTCAGGCAAAACCTTGCTGTTTGTATCATGATGTGTGTGTGTTGCATTGTTGTACTGAGTGAAGCCAGTTCAACCTTGATTTTGTCTTAATCGTCAATAATAAACTGTTAAATCATGTGATTTAACAAAAGCACATGATTATCAACAAGTGCCCCCCCTCTCCATAATTTAAACTGTTACTAAGTGTGAACAAACCAAATTCTGTAAAACGTTTCTTTGATGAAAGAACACTCATAAATGTTTTCATTGAATACTGTTGATCACAGCCACAGTCTCATAAAAACAAAATAGAACTGCGTAACTTTGGAGAGTACAAAGGCCAGGACTGTCTAGTTTTGGTCGGGAGTTCAGTCGGTCAACAATAAGCCTGTTTTATACACAACCAGGTCATTGTGTGGTCCCTCTACTGCCTACAGTACATTTTTACAAATAGGTTTGTGTGTCTCTGTGCTTCCACTCGTGGTTTAAGCCAACCATGTGATTAGTTTAAGAGGAAATTTGCCAGATGTGTTTCCCCAGAAGGCGAAAAACGTGGCCTACATCAATTTGAACTGTGAATGCAGTTCCAGGACGTGGACATTGAGGGGTGTATGTGAGCTGTGCGAGGGCTCTGTGAATGTCTGAGAGACTTTCTCTGACGTGACAGGCGAGACCACTGGCCATCTGCTTCAGGGTTTACTGCAGGATTAAATAGTGTGTGTGTGTGTGCGTGATTGGGGGTAGGGAGGCGACAACATAAACCTTTAACCCCCAGCCCCACTGCCCCCTCTGTCTGTTTCAGCTTCAAATAGAAATAATTAAAACCATCTGCCTGAGCGCTGAGCTGTGCCACTGAATCCTGCCCACAAAACAATCATGACAACACTTAGATAGAAACATTACCATGGAGTGTACCCCCTCCCTTGGTTTGGCCCCCACTCCTAATTTAAGGCCACCAGTCCCTGAAGCTGTGCAGAGAATATTGATGTAATAGCAAGGCTACCCATATAAACTGTATTTGCACACAAAGACACACACAGATATAAGGAACCTTTCATCTATACGCTACAATCTTATTCTATAGTATTTTAAAGTTTATGTGCCTGTGTCTTTCAAAAAAGGCTATGTTTGTTGTAGTTTAATGTTTAGCCCCTAGCAGTGACAGTAGCTGAGCTAGGTCACTGCCTATCTGGGTTAATATAGCTCATTTGCTCAAGTGGCCACGTGGCTGGTAAATAACCTCCTGACTGCATGTGTGTTGGCGTGTCTGCCAGATATATGTGGAGGTTGAAAAAAACCACCAATCACTGCTATGTGGGAGGGATAGAAAATGTGTGTGTACGTCAGAGTAAGTAGTGTGTGAGTGTGTTGTGAGTTGGTGTGTGTCGATTACTCTTGTGGTTGTTGTTGATGCACTACTGACTTCATGTTTTGTTGCTGTTTACAGAGGGTGATGAAACTGGTATCATGGATGGCCTGTTGGAGGCGCTGCAGTCCGGTGCTGCTTTCAGGAGAAAGAGAGGACCCCGGCAAGCAGGTACACATACAGAAGCAGAGCTGTAGATCCCCACGAAACATGTGGAGGTTTCAAAGTGTCATGTCTCACTTGATTTACAGATTTCAGGTAATTCTTCATGCACATTTATGACATGCGTACTATCCTGAAACACATGTACCATATGAGACCAATTTCTTCCGCTTCCTCACTATCTCTATATTTCTGTCAATGCACAGCAGCAGATATGTTTGTTTTCCTGTCTCTGTTCCACATGTTTCATGGCTCAGAGACTGTGGGTTGTGGTGGATATTCACTGACCACGGTTACCATGCCTCAAATCCTATTCCACGAGGAGCTGGTATAACAACAAAAGAAGAGGGGGGGGTGACAAGGGATAGTGTGGGCAGCAAGATTCTTACAAGGGGAACGACTGATGAGGGTGTGGAAAATATAATAGAAATATGAATGTTGAGCCAAGGAGGGTAGACCAGTGTGGGAAGAAAGTTGAAGGAATTGAAAAAAAAATCTGTTTTTATCATTGATACTTCATTTAGAAGTTTAAAGCTATGAGCCTTTTTTTAAATGAATCTCATGAAGAGGGAGAGATCCTGACCTTAAGGCTACACCCATATTACTACAGAGGTTTTGAGCACCTAAAATGGAATATGCCTGTTGGTCCTGTTTTAGTTTGAAAAATCTCTTTCTTGTTTACACTGGCACGCACATGTACATGAGTGGTCATGTGATATAGATTTTCAGGTATGTTAGTATGGACAGGGATTAAAACTGATGCAGATATCCAACACTAGGTGAGAAGCCAATCATGGTCCGATAACTTAAACAAGTACGATGTGAAAAACTGTAAATCACCTGTGCATATACCCTGAGAACTGAAGTAATACACACCTGTCACATGGTTTTCTGCTGTAGAGCTCACTTTAAAATAATTGTGAAGTCTGTTGAATCACAGTAATTCAACTTACTGTTTTATCTGTGAATAAAAAGGTTTTTCTCATCCCCCCCATTAATTTTTTTTAAATGCCACATTTAGTAGATAAGACCAGGCAGATGAAAATGAGGTCAAGTGAGCTGTTGGGATAGTATGTACATAATTCCTGGTGTTAGGAAACTTGTGTGGAACCATGTGAGTGGCAAAGAGTCCAGCCATAGCCATTAACTCGGAGCTAGAGGGACACGTGTGTGTGTGTGTGTGTGTGTG